GAATATATATATATGGGCATGGATGTGCTTATATGTATCTTATGGCTCCTCCCTGAACTTTCACCGAAATGAATCATCGTTGCCGGTGGCAGATGTGATGCAGCTGGAGTCGATGGCCTCTCCGTCTCAACGTCCACACCCTCTGCTGGAGTCCTTCGACAAACAGTAGACTTAACATAAATCGATGCACAGATCAATAACAAGCATTCTGCTGTAAGAGCTGCAGAGTTTACCTCGTGGCCCTGTTTATTGTGGTCTGTAGGTAAGGTCAGAGCAGTCCAGACCAAAGCAAACAGTGTTGACTGTACTTGTGTGAGGGTGTGGGGCTAATAGAAAACTAAAGATTGAACCAGGCGAGTGTGTGTCGATGTGTTATAGGTTTATCAGTTAACCTTCAGCAACGAGTGTGATCGTTAACCAGTGACTCCCAGAACGAGATGTTACGAGTTTTACTTGGTATTTATATTGTAGTTATTCTAACTACAGCTGAACATGTTTGACCTTGTCTGCTTTTGTATCTACATCCAGTATTTACTAGATATTATTTTCACGTGTGTCGTTTGTAGTAGTTTGTATAAATATCATGACAAACTTATAACTTTTATCTTGAAGCCTTCAGGGGTATTACATTTTCCAAAAGTTTTCTCTTGTGAAATCTTGTGATTTTTACCTCTCCGGGCCTCTGAAAGTGCCTCGGATAAAAAAAAACTCTGAAAGGGAAAAATCAATCTTTCTTCGAACCGCTCACAACTCACGTCCACACGAAGGCCGCGACCTTTGATAAAAAGTCACATGCTTCATTTTAAAGGGTCACAAGCTGCAAAGTTTGAGAGCCGCTGCTACACAAGTGTTGGCTGAGTTACTGAGTCCCTTGAATACACAACAGTGTGTCATGAAAAGTCCATGATCTTAAATATGTTCGTCACTCACATCATTTTCAAACGTTATTATCCTGTGTGTGGCATCAGCCCCAAGCTCAGTCATGTATATTTAATGAGTGTTTTCATTTGAATGCTTCCAGCGGCCGGTGACATTGTCTTTGCGGGTTGTCCGTCTGTCCTATTCTTCTGAACATGATATCTCAAGAACCCCTTGAGGGAATTTCTTCAAATTTGGTACAAACGTCCATTTGACGTCAAGGATGAATTTATTCGATTTTGGTCAAAGGTCAAGGTGACTGTGGCCTTGTGAACAAGATTTCTTAAGAATGCCTTCAAGCATTCCCTTTAAATTTGGTATAAATGCTCACTTGGATTTACAAATGAACTGATTATAATTTAGTGATAAGAGGTCAAAGGTCAACATCACTGTGATCTTACAAAACCTGTTTTTGTTCTTGTGAACACAACAACCTTAGAACACCTTGAGGAAATTTGGGCTTGAGTCTTGGACTGAGGGATACAACCACAAGGTGCTTATTCTAGTTTAAAACGGCTCAATAATTTCCTCAAACAGCAGATTTTAGAAAATATTACAGTCAAAACTAGACAGGACATCAGTTGGACTGCTTTCATAAATAAATACACACTGGAGCCCTTATAACTCCTTTTGGCAGCAGAACAGTAAAAGCAATTGAACAGCCCTGAATAAACTACAGTGCCCATGTTCATCTTAACGAGGAACGTGTCGCCCCTGCAGTGGATCAATTATAAGAAAAATGTAGGATATCACCAGCCCTTCCCTTTAAAGGTGCATCTCAAGGTTTCCCAACAAGCAGAAAGAGAAGCAGCACCTGGTAAAGCCTGAATCCAGCCGATAAGACGATTGTGCTTCAAAGCTGGATGGACAGAATCAGTGCAATTATGTCCACGTTCACATTTTCAGCATAAGACATGGTATGCTCAACGGACAGAAAGCAGATGCGGCTGCACACTGAGGTGTGCTCTGATTAAACAAGCAAGACAGGGCTGATTACAAATGAATGAGCGAGAGCCAAAGAGAAAGAAACGGGGGAAACGAGAGCGATGAAACCAGCAGAGAGAGATTTCGATGATCCAGACATTTGACTGGCTGTCACGGAGAAGCTGCTCATCTGTTAATAATAGCATATCGCATTCATCATTTGCACCGGAGAGTGAGCTACTGCGGGCTACAGAGGCCGGATCTCTCTGTGCCTATGTGTGATCTGCGTGCAGGCATTCATGTGTAAATGTATGGGTACGAGACCGAAATCTGTGTGTGAATTACACCGCGGAGCAGTGCATTAATAATAGATCAACTCTCCCTTTGTTTGGGACGTAAACTTGATGAATGGGCTTTGTAATTGGTTAGTTTAATAACTGGAGACAAACCGAGTGCTCTTTGCCGCTCGTTCTCACACACAGACATGCAATTACACACCACAGAAACATGCTGAAATCGTAATTCCCCGTCAGATGCCGCGCCGCGCACACACACTCCGCACTCATGTCAGGGAGGCATTCACATGCTGCTCTGTTTAATTTGGGTTTGGCAGATTATAGTAATTATGTTAAAGAAAAGATTTTCCAGAGTAATTTGCCCTTTTCTGTCCTTGAAGAGTGAAACAGTTCTGGCTGAAGGATGATCACTTTTTTTTTTTCTTACGCTGCTATTTAACAGTTCAACCAGACTGGAAAATATGTTCACATAAAGGGAGTGAAAGCATCCAGGGTTTTATTGTTTCACATAGTTTTATGAGAACAATGATCGTTTGATCATCGGGAAGGGTTTTCCGATCAATGTAATCACAGCCGGAACAGCAGGATATTCCATATATTGAAGTGCAGAGTGTGTGTGTGTGTGTGTGTGTATATTGGCAGCCAAGGAAAGTGTACCAACGCTGACATAAATTGCAGTGTGTGCCATTGAACTGCACCTCTGGGCCTGCTCTCCATTCACCAGTAACTCAGAATAATGTGTTTTCATGTGTGTGTGCGAGTGTGTGTGAGAAGCAGAGTCGATGTAAACAACCCATGAAATTAAGATTCAGAACAGAGTTTTCCGTGTTTGTGTGACAGTGTAAATAATGCAGCCTTTTGTGTCTGTATGCTAACTATCCTTGAAATTAAGATGTCGACCAGAAAACATTCCCCGTGTGTTTATGTCTGTGTGTGAACATTTTATTTTTACCTCATCAGGACCTTGTGCACACTGAACTTGTCGGGACCAGTTCTCCTCAAAGGAACCAAAGCCAAAGGGCCAAAACATCCTGGTTAGGGTTTGGTTTAGGCCGTCCACAATTAATGGAAGTCAATGCAGTGTCCTCACAACCACAGCAGCTTGAACTGTATGTGTGTGTGTGTGTGTGTGTAGCCAAGCTCTGAGTATTCTCATCATTCTCTGAAGACGGAGACAGGAGGGGGATTTGAAGAACCTCTCAAACATGCTGACAGCTTGTCAAGGCCCTCCTACGACTGTAATGAATTTCAGCCTTTTGTGGTGTGTGGTCCCACTGCACAGATAAGCTGAGGCACTAATACAGTTAAATGTGTGTGTGTGTGTGTGTGTGTGTGTG